CCTCAGCAGCAGTTGCAACAACAAACTTTACAACCTCAGCAGCAGTTGCAACAACAAACTTTACAACCTCAGCAGCAAACCTTGCAACCCCAACAACATCAACAGCAAACTTTGCAACCTCAACAAATTCAACAAGAGTTGCAACAGCAAACTTTACAGCCTCAACAGCAAGTTTTGCAACCCCAACAACTTCAACAGCAGTTGCAACAGCAACCTTTGCAACCTCAGCAACTTCTTCAGCAGCAAAACTATGCATCAGATGACATCACAGCACTTACAAATGCTTCTCAACAAACTCAATTTTCTACACAAAACACACAACCAGATAACCCAAAACATAATTTAAACTCAAAGCAACAATCTCAAGGTTCTATTAATAGTTTGCAAGATTCCTCTAATCAATTAAATAATTCATTCTCTCAACAACAAGTTCAGTATTTGTCTAATCAAACATCACAAGATTATACAAATTCTGCAGATATATACACATTATTACGAAATCCATCTCAAAATTTACAAGATGCCGCCACAATAAATCAAGCTCAATTAACACAGCTATCAATTCAATATCAAGATCCTAAAACATTTAATAATACCTCAACTACCCCATCATCTGTTCAACATCAAAACTTTATTCCATATGATTCTCAGGTAATTTTATTATTTTAATTCTATTAGTGATTTTTATGTAATATTTTCATTTGGCTGACCTACAAATCCGTTTATTTCATCATCAGCAGCAGCAGCAACAACTACAACAAAATTTTAATATAATTCCTCTACAACAAGATCCGCAATATTTTAATCAATCTCAATAAAAATTTTAGTTCAGATTCATCAATAATCCATTCTAATATGAAAATTGATCTGGACAAAACAATTTAAATCCAAGATTTAGAAAATATATTAATCATATAAAATATTTTACTTATTTAAGAAAGTGCAATTCCTCAAAAAACCCACATTTGTTTTTTTTTTCATTTTGTCTATTATTTTAAATTATATAAGAATTAAATACATTATTATTTCTGTCACATTTGGTCATCATTAACTATAATTAATTGAATCTATAATGTTTTTTAATATTTCTCATTCTTCATTTTCTATCATTCTTTCATTTCCCTTCGTTATATGCTTTGCAGATTTTATCCATGATCTTTTGCTTCTTGCAGTATAGATCAAACTGAAGACAGTGGCATCAAGTAGAAGTCAAGTAGATAAGGGAGGTAGTTGATTGAAATTATCAAAAAGATGATTTGGTACATCTATATATGGTGTAGTATGTGATGATGGGACAATTACTATGTTTTTCTGCGCCCAGAAAGTTCCCCATTTGAACATTTGAACATGGTATTGCAACTTAGTCAACATACATACATCATTTCTTTCAGGGTTCACTGATCGAAAGGCATTGTCATTTGTTATAATAGATAAATCTAGCAAGACAAATAAGCTCAATACTGGATCATCTGCATGTATTTGAATACCTTCTGCATTCATTTACAATGTAGCCTAATAAATATCTGCAAATGGAATGTTATCATTTATTCTAAACTTATATATACCCTTGCAATTTCCTTTTGTAATTCACAAAGATTTCACATCATGAAAGCATTGAGCATAACAACCATTTTTACAATATTCTTGCAATAACTTTCATAATATTTTACAATAAAAACCATTGTAAAAATGGTTGTTATGCTCAATGCTTTCACTATGTGAAGTCTTCGTGAATTGCATTTTCCCAATAAGGAACTAGCCAATAGAAATGAAGAAATAATGAACAATTGGTTCTAATTTGATTGGCATAGTAGTAGTGAGTAAAGAAATACAAATACAAAGAATATTAATACAGGCACAGAAAGTAAAGTCAAGAATGAAGATGAAATGACCTGCAGCAAAAGATTTACATTTATGATGAAGTTGAAACAATAAGTGAAAATAATAAGTAAATAGACCAAGGCATTGATAATTGTCATTGAAAGTGGTTTGCATAATCTAAATAAAGAAAAGATGTTGTAAAAGCAGCTTTGACAATCAAGGTAACAAAGAATTATAAAGAATTGCAAAATGGCAAACAACCAGAAGATAGAAAGAAGGCAAATAATCAACAACAACATATACTTGTACAATGCCACTATAACCCATCACTCTACAATCTATCATTTTAAAAATCATGTATTTTTATGTTTTTTATATGTTACATATTGTACACATGATTTTTAAAAGCTAATAACTTTGGAACAAATAATTTTTTTAAATTATCTCAACAATGGATTGTAGAATTAGTCTGTTTTTTTTCAAATATTCCCTATCTAAAGTTTATGATGGGTTATAATGGCATGCACTGTCAAAAGGACCAGGAAATTCTATTGAGTGTCACCTCCAACACTATGATTCGAGGTACTTTAACACTATAATGAATTAAATTTAATCCCAAAAGGAAACTCAAACTGAAAAATGTCACATAGTACCACGGATTATTATAATTGAGATATCATCCAGGTTATTTATAAATCTTTTAACCTTTTTAAATAGCCACACCACTTATTAGAATCTTTACCCAAAAAACCATCAAAATCGGATGTTATAATAATAATCTGGGGTCCTTTGCTAATACAATTTTTGGTGAATCATCATTATCTACAGAAAAAATCCACCAATCAGGTTTCGGGCTTCTAGTCTGAAGGATTTTTGCCAGAAAGTTTTAAAAAAATGCTGAATTTTTTTTATTAAAGAAAATAAAATACCTTTTGTAGCACTGGCTTTATTATTATGTATTTTACAAATTTTACAAAACATTGCTTTTTTTATCAACCAATTGAATTTAGTTAGCCATTCACGAAACCATTTGAATTTTGGTCTGAAAAGATGATGATGCTTCATTCATTGCATTGAATATCTTTTTATAAAAATTTGTCAGAAGGTGGTAAATGATCTGACTTTCTTTATTAATTTTATTAAATATATTTCTAGATGTAGAAATATTCAGCCTAATTATAATTTTTACCCCAGTTTAATTAAAGTTTTGCAACACATGTTTGTTATCTTGGAATTAAGTTTATTGTTAAAAAATTTTTACATGTCAAAAAAAACCAAATGAAAATTCTCGATATAGTCAAACCCTGTTATAACAGACCCTATTCGCATCTACTAATGCTATAAAGAGATTTGACTGCAAATAAAAAAGGCAGAGGTAAAAAAATATGCAAACGTAGGATTTTTAGAGAGACAATTATAGCAATAACTGTTTTTCACGAAAAATAAAAATCAATGCCTATAAATGGGAATGATCTTACACGCGCGATTCAAATTAAAGTAACTTCTTTTTTTAAAAAAAGTTTTTTTTTTACAAAATTGAAGAAATGAATATTTTTAATAAAAAAAACAAACCCAAGCTAGGTTGGCTTATTACTTTCAGTCAGGTAAAAATTGTTTAATATTATAAAATGGGAACAATAACAAGACACTTTATTGAAATAATAAATATATTAATTATTAATTAAAAAATACATATTAAATAAATGTAACTGTGGTTAGGTTTTGTCCAAAAGTCGTGAGTCGGGTCTGAACTTTGTTTTTTGTGACGAAAATGGTGAGCCATTTACGGCTACGATGTACTATGCACCATATTTTTTTATAAGATATCATGTTAGCAAGTTTTTTTTTTACTTTAAATGAAATATTTTTTATATATTGAAATTTATCCTTATATTTTGTTCATATAGCCTGGACTCGATGAGGAAATTTCATTTTTAAAAAAACAAATTCCTTCACGTGTCCGTGATATTACAAAAATAACGAAATCGATATCACAAAACGTAAATCATCATCATCATCATTATCATCATCACCAGCAAAAATCATCTCTATGATATGTTCTATAATATTTACTAGCGTGTAACATTACATAAGATTGTGATATTAACATCTACATTGTCTCGGAGATGGTTTTTGCTGTAAAATGTCACATATATTAGTCAATAATATTAAATTATTATCATTATTTTTTAATAGTTTGTCCAATCAACAACTAAATGTAATGAGATAGAATTATTAAAAATAAGTTTTTTAAATGTGTCGCAACTGAATATTGTATACAACAGTCTTGTAAAAAAGTAAATATTATTTTTATTAGTGATATATATTTTTCGCTTCTTTTTTTCTTCCGATAAAACTATTATATTGTTTTATTATTATTCTCAGAAGAAATATTCAAATTTTTGAATATGATATTCCGTATATTCAACGTGTCGCAATTGATAAAGGTAATAATAAATTATATTTAATATTTATTTATTTGTAAATAAATAAATAAAAACTTTAATGATTAACATTATTAGGTTTTAGAGCTGGCCAATGGTATGAAGTTACGTTAAATCATAGTAATGATAATCATAGTATCATAACTG